TGACTTCCTGTCCCATCAGCTCCAGCGTCCCCCACACATGAGCTGCTTGATTCCCAGAACTGAGAGCCTTTTTATTCAGTCAGTACTGACCATATGCACACACTGGAACTCAGTGAAATATATTTGAGGAGGAACCAGCAACCACTAAGTTTCAAGTTGACTTGACAATAACAACTATAATACAGAAGGTTTCACCTTTACTAGATGTTACAGTGAAATATAAGTCAAGAAAAAAAAGGAGATAAAGTGAAAGAAGAGCGTTAAAAGAGCTTTACATATGTATTATAAGGTTTTATAAAAATATCTATTCACTTGAGTATTGCGATATAGTATTGCATTTTTTTTTACTATTGTGAGATGTTGAGATTCTTGCCAATAAGTAACAGCATTTAAGTATGGGACCATTACTATCAACTACTACCTTCAATTACTGCTGAGAAAGTAAAACTCCAGTTCAAGGAATCATACTTCTTATCTTGCAGTCACTGGCTACAACTCATGCTATAGAGTGGCGAAGTCCCTCCCCTTCCGGGGGACCTCCATGGGACCTTATTTCGGAAAAAGTATGTATTGAAGTCAATGGAGAGAGAAAGATTATCTTTTGATCCCGTTTGAATTGTGCAACGAATTACACATATGATGTTTGTCAATTTAAAAGATAATTTTGCAAGTCAACAAAATAAAAATGTGCTGTAAATCTGTGAAGTAACAAATGTTTTCGTGTGAAGCGCTCAATGAACTACAACTCTGGTCTTGCATACGTCACCAACACCAAGATGGCCGTTACGTTAGCATATTTCACCTCTTTCTTTCAGAATGAAGTGAAAAGTATTAAAAGAGGTGAAAATCACTACAAGTCTGGCCATGTTGAGAACTGTACATACACAAAAGGGGAGTTAGTCGGTTCCAGCATGCGGGACCGGCTTTACAAGGTTTCGGTGAGTAACACGAGTGTAATGTGTAACGTTAATGTCAGCTAGCTAAATTCACTTACACGACTCTGGGATTTGTAGTCTTTCTAGTTGCGTATTTTTCATAGTCTTATATTTCAACAGTTTTAAGACAAACTGTGACTTTTTTTACATGGAAATGATTTTTTAAGATTGACAAACATCATATGTGTAATTCGTGGCACAATTCAAATGGGATCAAAAGATAATCTTTCTCTCCCCATTGACTTCAATACATAATTTTTCAGAAATAAGGTCCCATGGGGCGGAAGTAGATGGGCGTGACTTCGCCACTCTATTTATGCTATGAAAATAAACTTTAAAAGACTAAGAGGCAGCTTGACATACCAGCCAATCCTGCTTTGAGTTCTATTTAAGGGGAACTTCACATATCAAATTCCGAAATATGAAAAGATCCCATGTAGCACGCTGCTCATCTCTGCTTAGGGCTAGCTGCTGAAAGCTACCACTGTTAGCATAACACCTTTGAATATCCAAAGGTACTTTCTAAATAATCAAATTTGTAGTAAAACACTTTAAAATGTCTTGTGCAAGTCCCATACCATATATCCATATGCAATTGTCAGCATGGCCCTGGTCTGATTGATGATGATAGAATAGCTCTGAATGAAACCTACACATAGCAAAAATAAACATTTTGTGCTTACTGTGATAGAGTACAAATCACACAAACCAGATCACCACCTAAAACAGTAAGCAACCTCTAACACCATCTCATTTTACATAGTGAGTCATCTGGTCTATTTATTTATTCTGGCAAGTGCAAGTGCTTCATGACACTATACTATTCCACAGGCCCTGAAAACTGTAGTAATTAAACCGCTCCTAAAAAAGCATAACTTGGACACAGCCGTAATGAATAATTACAGGCCAATATCAAACCTTCCTTTTTTAATCAAATTGATTGAAAAAGTTCTTTTTCAACAGTTGAGTCATTTCATGTTTTTAAATGACGGTTTTGATGTGTTTCAGTCAGGCTTTAGACCTAACCACAGCACTGAAACTGCTCTCGTTAAGGTCTTAAATGACATTCATTTAAACACAGACAGTGGCAGAATATCAGTTTTAGTATTATTAGATCTCAGCCTTTGACACTGTTGACCACAACATATTGCTAGACCGTCTAGAAAACTGGGTGGGAGTTTCAGGAACAGCTCTAAATTGGTTTAGTACCTACTTAAAGGACAGAAAAAACGTTGTCTCAATAGGCAACTACACATCAACTTTGACAAATATGTAGGGATGTAACGATACCAAAAACTCACAGTACGATAATATCGCGATAACAAGTCCACGGTACGGTATTTATCGCGATATTGAATAATAAAGAAAAAATAATAATAATAATTTTTGTTTTTTCAATACACATTTTTTTTTGCTCAGAAAATGTTTCTTTATTACATAATAAATCTGATTTTACAGCATTTTAGTAGGATAGCAGTATTTTAAAGTGTCAAAAACAAAGTGACAGTAACAGACTGGAACAAGAAAACCAGTGTTTTTGTACCTATAATAGCCTACTACCAAACAAAGTAGGCATTTTCTTTGTGCCACCGCATCTCACAAATAAACAAGGACATTTAATAATCAGACCCTGCAATAAAATAAATCAAGTTTCACTTTAGTTTTTCAAGTAACTCAAACTCACTAGTCACTCACTCAGCATCATCAGACAGGTTTTTAGGAATATGAGAATGTCCACATTTCCAGGTATTTATAAGCTGGGATGTTTGGGCATTTACAATATCCCCTGCTCTGGAAAAAACTCTCTCGCTTGGTACTGATGTTGCTGGGACAGCAGTGGTCGCGTTAACCGAATATTTTATTTATCAATGACGGGAAAATCTGAAAGCAGTCTGTCATTTTGACAGATTAGAACAAACTCGGAACAGCGCCAACGTTTCCCCGCAGCGAGGCTCTGGTGTTATGCCGTGTTATGCATGCCCTCCAAAAGGAAATTATATAGTTTCCAAACCGTACTTTGTCGTACAGATCAACACATGTCTGGGAGGTTTTGCTTTACGCTGTGTGCGCTCCCGCGAGGTGCATGCACACACGGCATAACACCGCCGCCCCCCCCCCCCCCCCCCCCCCCCCCCCCCCCCCCCCCCCCCCCCCCCCCCCCCCCCCCCCTCCCGTTGACAGTTCACGAGCGTGCTCTCTTGTGAACTGTTCAGACCCGACGGGTAATAACGATCCTGTCTGTCAAAATGACGCACAGCGAAAAAGTCTAACGCCACCTCAGTGGGACGGAGAGATATGCTTTGGCCATGGGTGACAGCAGTGGGTCAAACTGTGCATTGTCTCTCCACCACTTCAAAAATAATACAGTTTTTGCGAAGAAGGTGAGGCTTATTGACAGGGCGAGATATAAATATACTGTTGGTACTTATCAATGTCTCTAGGTGTGTAAATGTAGCCCTGTAAATACGATGTCCTTTTGTGTTATCTGTTTTATGTTCATGTTGTAACCTACTTGCTGCCATGTTGGACAGGTCTCTCTTGAAAAAGAGATCGATGATCTCAATGGGACCATCTGGTTAAATAAAGGTTTAAAACAAAAAAAAGTGTTTAAAAAAAAAAATATTGAAAAATTGTTTTTATTTGAAAATAAAATCGTGGTAGATTTTGTCAGTCTCACGACGGTGTTGGGACGTTTATTTACCGCGATATTCTGTATATAGTTACATCCCTACAAATATGTCATGCGAGGTTCCTCAAGGCTCCATCTTAGGACCTTTGCTTTTTAATATGTATATGCTACCTCTGGCTGAAATGATTAAAAAGAGTGATCTAAGTTATCACATCTATGCAGACAACACCCAGATTTATTTTAAAATCACACCAGGAGACTGTTCTCCGATTAGAACACTGAGCAAGTGCATTGAGCACATCACTGACTGGATGACTCAGAACTTTCTCCAACTGAACAAACAAAAAACTGAGATCATTGTTTTTGGAGAAAAGAAGGACCGATTAAAAGTAATCGCAGAGCTTCAGTCAGCAGACTACAAAACCACTAACAAAGCCGGAAATCTAGGTGTAGTGATGGACTCAGACCTGAATTTCAACAGCCACATTACAACAGTCATTAGGTCTGCTTATTATCACCTGAAGAATATATCGAGGATTAAAAAACTAATGTCACAACAGGACTTAGAAAAGCTTGTCCATGCTTTTATTTTCAGTAGACTCGACTACTGCAATAGTGTCTTCACAGGGCTGACAAAAAAATCCATCAGAAAACTGCAGCTAATTGAGAACGCTGCTGCACGTGTCCTCACTAACACTAAAAGAGTGGATCACATCAGTCCGGTTCTGAAATCTCTACATTGGCTTCCAGTCGGTCAAACAATTGATTTTAAAGTACTATTGCTAGTTTTTAAATCATTACATGGTTTAGGACCAAAGTATATTGTTGTACGAGCCATCAAGGTGCCTCAGGTCTTCTGGGACGGGTCTGCTATCGGCTTCGAGAGTAAAAACAAAACATGGAGGCAACATTTAGCTATTATGCCCCGACACTCTGGAATAAACTAACCAAATCATGCACGTCTGCAGAAACGCTTACTATTTTTAAATCGAGACTAAAAACATATCTCTTTGCCGCTGCTTTTAATTTAGATGCTCACATTCGAACTACAGTATGCCTTTTAAACATGTATTGTTTACCTGTAGTGTTTATTTTTATTATTTTATTATCTTTGCTTTGTAATGTCTGTTGTAAAATTGTATAATGTGTTTTTAATGTATTTATTCCTAAAAAGTATTTTAATTTGTTTTGTAAAGCACTTTGAATTGTCGCGTACAGAAAAGTGCTATATAAATAATCTTGCCTTGCCTATACAGGAACCAGTGTTACTCTGGAAGTTAACTGTTACTGTCATCAGCCCTTTCCCATGCAAAGTGATTCCACAAAGGTAAGTGAATAAACAGAATCATGATGGCCTTCATTCCGAGGAACACATCAAGTTGCACAGAATAAAGCTCCATGAGAGTGCTGGAGATGTTTTGGTAAGATCACAGTACCTGGACATGACTCTGAGCGCCCAGGTTGTAGATCTCCGTCGGCTTCACCTGGTTGATGATCTTCACCAGGCACGTGCTGTCCGTCAGATCACCATAATGCAACTTCATGTCTAACAAAGAGAGGGACAAACAGTAAGTTCAACTATTTTGGTGTTGTAGGGAGGCGTGTGACGCAGTGGATAGAGCCTTGGTGTTGGGATCAAGGGAGCACAGGTTCAAACCTGGGCAAGACACTTCACCGCAAATTGCTCCTGTGGGGATTGCCCACAGTACTGAGTATGTAAATCGCTTTGGATAAAAGCAGTGGGTATGGCTGGGGTAGGCTACAGCCATACCAAGAAATGGCTTAGCCCCACCATGAAAAATGATGTTAAAGTAAGCAAAATAAAGTCCGCCTACGCGGAGTAAGTTGCACAGACAGCAGTTAGTCAGATTAATTTCAGTAGCCACTTGTCTGGAAATACCGAAGACTAGAAACGGTTTTGAAAACTTTTGTCACGCGTAGTGATCGTCTTCTCAATAGAACATCTTTGATAATGTCTTCTGGCCAATCAGAATCACGATAACGGCGTGGTGTTGTTGCAGGAAGTCCCGACGGAGAATACTTTTGCTGTAGTACATCTCTATATACATCGATACAACATTACGTGTTGATAGAAATCAACACGTAATGAAATAAGACCCCAGGGTTTGATGATTGATAGGTGTGTGGGCTGTCTTTCATTTTGACACACAGAACAATGGGGGCTATCCACCCTTATCCACAATGTAAAGTCATTCACAGCCTCTTCCCTCTTCTCTCTGTGAGGAGCAGCAGGTTCAGCTTTCAGAACAAAGTAACAAAAAACTAAAATGGCATTCATTTTTTTTAAATATCGTGTAGTGATAGATTTATTTATTTTTCTTCTCAAGAGAGTACCAGAATGTGTATTTTATGTTAGTATTTCAAAAAATCTCCTGGGGGACAATCCCCCCAGACCCCCCGTCAGGCGTTGGGTTTTCAGCATGTCAACTCTTTCACTTGTGGGGAAATTGCAGGATTGGCTCCAGGTCGCCCTTTTTATTTACTACAAGACAAATGTGCCTTTTTATTTCATACAGTTCAATTTGGAATGAGACAGGGAAATAATCTAAACCTCACGTTTCACTGTCAAGGGGGGGCGATATAGTGTGTATTATCGATGTATATAGAGATGTAATTATGTTGTAAATACTGACTTGTGCCCTGGTGCCACACGTATGCTTATGCAAGTGTGGCATTATCGATGAATATAGAGATGTAATTACGTTGCAAATACTGACTTGAGCCCCACGACTGTATGGGTTAGCCCTACCATAGATTACCCAACAAAAATACTCTGGCGCCGCCACTCGATAAAAGCGTCTAACAGGTGACATGTAATGTAATATAATGTCCTGTGATGACCCGTCTCAAGTGGCCACAAGATTAGGAAGACGAAGCAGAGAAGGCAATAAGCCCCTTTAGTAAGGATTTAACGGGAAATATTTTAATAAACCAGATTAAAAGTAACCAAATGATGTTCCCAAATTAAATCGTTAAATGACAATCTGAAAAGTGGAGGAGGAGGGATTGGGTGTTGTGCAAGAATAGCATAACGGTAAACGAAGGCAACATAACCAATCCAGATAGTGGTGTGCCCTGTAGAGAGCAGCAGAGGTTGATTACACTGCAGCCACATATGCAACCCAGGAGTACATGTGGAAGCACAGCTCAAGCTTATCAGCCACCAGAGCAAGCAGGAGCCAGCTACAGTAAAGTACATTTTATCAAAGAAATGATGTAATTTCAGTTTTTAAATCAGAAATCAGTGTTGAATGCATGTGTTGTAAGCACCAGGCAAAGCTTTACAGTAAACTAAAGCAACATAATCAAATCATAATGTGCTGTACCTGTCGAGGGGAACATAAAGAGGGGTCATTACAAGAGTAACTTTAAGTTATTTGAAGATTTCTTTTTTTCTGTAATATCCATAAAAGATCAGTTTTGCTGTGATGTGCTTTTTCTGCAGCCTAGAGAAATTGATATTTTTCTGAGGTTTTAAAGTAACAGGCTCCTATTTCTATACTGTCCTGACAACTGGATATACATATACACTGCCTGTGTTTATACTTCTATACAATTTGATGTTTATTATCTCATGGTGAGGGCTTTGCAGATCTGATGGTGCCAAAAAAAAGTAAATTGTTTTCCGGTATCTGCAGCTGTTGCATTTGGACGATCAATGGTATTTTGTATCACGGCAAAACACAAGTCATTTAATTTCTCTAAGGTGTTAGACAATGTCTAAAAAGGTGTTTGTGACACTGCAACTCTTGGTGTTTATCGGAGATTGTATGGAAAGACAGACAAAGAGTCCCGACTCCCTAGAACATGAACTAGCCAAAAAGCCCAGGATATGGGAGCCGCCATCTTGAACACGTGACTTCATTTGAAGCCAGTAGTGATGAGGGGCTAAACCTAACCAATGTTATGCCTAATCTTACCGACAAAGGTACAGGCCAATCCATGCCTTCGCCATAGTAGAAAAATAATGATGTCAACCGCACATACACCTGTCAGACTCAATGGAAACACGGTCATGGTCATTGCTGTAAGCGTGAAAGCCAGCGTGCTGCTACGTTTCTACAGTAGCTGTTTCGCTAGATTTTCCACTGTCAGAAAATTAACACTCAGTAAACATCTTAGCATTAAGAGCTGCCTAAAAACATATGTATTTGACGTGTAATTCGATTTTTGTTTTTGTATTGCCCATCTGCTAACATGCGTGGTTTATGTCTTCATCTGCCAATAGTTTCTCTGGGGAGACATCATGGTGTGAAAAGTGTACTCACTGCCTTCGGTGTGTGTCTGTGGGTTCTGGTAGAGATGCTCAATGCGACCCGTGTTGAAAGAGCTGGAGCGTCGCATAATACCATGAACCTGTGAGAAGAAAAAGAGAGGCTTTATTATACCATATTTATTTTATTGACAATATATATTTACACCACTTCAGATTAACATTATTATAACCTTGCTTAGTTAACTTTGTAAATAAAAAACACATTTTTGTGTGTTTTGTTGCTCATTTTGTGCAGCTCCTACACAGTAAAGAACACCCACCCAAGAAAATATTTCTTCATTATTACAAAGCATTGAGTTACCCTCACATGTACTGAAGAAGCTAAGGGGTGAGTAGTAATAAGAATCCCGCTTCAATCACATTAGTATGCATACAAACGTACAGGTGGGCCCGCCCCCAATTATGCTAATGTATAAGTCCCGCCTCCCTTTGTTCGAGGTGGATCTCACACGTAGGTGTGAGATCCTTTGATGTGAGGTGTGAGGTGTCATCACACGTAGGTGTGAAATGCCCCCCTGTGTAGCGCCTTTGTTGTCTAATTCTTTGATGTGAGGGTTGAGGTGTTATAACAGCTAGGTGTGATTTCACACCTGTGTGTTATAAGCCTCTGATGTTAATCTAGGTGTTGATTAAGGCAGTCTCTTTGAAGTTATGCGTGAGACTGTCTGGCCCCTGTCCCCTCACAGCCCTTTGTTGTCTAATCTAATTAGCCTTTGATGTCTGTGCTTTGATGTGAGGGTTGACTTGTTATAACAGGCAGGTGTGATTTCACACCGGTGTGTTATAAGCCTCTGATGTTAATCTAGGTGTCTCTTTGAAGTTATGCGTGAGACTGTCTAGCCCCCGCCCCCTCACAGCCCAGGCCTCGCCCCCTTTCTCCACCCCTTCCTGTCACACGATAGGAGGCCAGAAGATAGTGGGGGGTGGAATTACAGATGGAGCACTCCATTTCAGACGCCTACCCGTGCGGATCCGTGATCGACACGGGGTGGGCCCCTGCTGAAAAGGAAACCCCCCCCCCAAGGACTTGAAACGCCCCCTTGATAAATACATTTAATTATAATGAAACCAGCTGCAATGGATAATGGATCCACCAGGGGGAGCCGTGATTAAAAAGCTGCCACACTGGAACTCATAAACAGCTGATCTACAGGTATCTGATATAGCGGATATTTGTTAAGATCCATATGTCACGGATAGGATCATATTCTGTGCTAAATAAGAGACATGTAATCATTTACTAAACATCCGCATGTTTTTATTTAACAAAATAATGTTTAATTCACGTTGGCGTAAGTACAAAACCATCGCTATATTTTTAGATCAGGAAATGCATCCAGGCTCAAACAAACGATTTTCAATCATCATCCTCACGATCATTTAATGTATCATATGTTCGCGAGTTGAAATGAATGCACTAAATTTAATCCACGTGAGTTTACAACAACAAAAATAATCGCTTTGTTTTTATATCACATCCGACCGGAGGAAAATGCAGCACGGGTCTCACTACCGATCATCCTAATCCCACGGGCAAACAATAATATGTACAGTGTTAATAGTTTACTGTATTATTAGTGTCTAATATTACTGGGGATTTCAGAATGGTACTGGATTTTGATTTATTGTATCGGCTTCATATCGCAATATATTCCCGAAGTCTGAAATGCAAAAATGTCCCACATTAGGGCAATTCACCCTACATTTAATCATTCAAACAAAATCATATTTCGTTTATTTTTAACGAAATAAATGTGGTTTAATCCACATAATTTACTGTGTTAATTGTTTTCTGTAGTATTGTGCACATTACTTTTCGCTGCTTGTTGAACCCCTGGTTAGAAGCTAAACTGCATTTCGTTGTCTCAGTACCTGCAATGTGTGCAATAACAATAAAGTTGAATCTAATCTTGAGCAGGAACAAATGTATTTAGGCTACTTAGTACATATCTGACATAAACGATTAAACACATTTGTGCATTCTTTAAACCGAGTCAAGCCGAGTCCGGAGGTGGCGGCACATTAAAGTGTGCACCTGATTGTTTAACTTGAAGGTGCCTAATGACATTTAATCATTCAAACAAAATCATATTTCGTTTATTTTTAACGAAATAAATGTGGTTTAATCCACATAATTTAGGCCTACTGTGTTAATTGTTTAGTATTGTTTAACTTAGGGATGTCCCGATCTCATTTTTTAGCTTCCGATCCCGATATTTTCAAATAGGTTCCGATCCGATCCCGATATTTCCCGATACCGGTTTTCCGATACCGATTTCCGATATCACTTTTTGTGTTGGCAAACAGCATTTAATTTCGTATACATTAAGAAATAGACAGGCACCCAAATAATTTATTAGACGACAAAAACCGGAGTTTTCCACAAGTGAAATTGGCTGGTCGTCCCCTGCTATGCACTCCACAATCAGCTCAGTAATCTTGCGAAATCTCTCGGAGTCTCGAGGAAGTAAAGCCTTTCGTTTCAAGCTGTCCCGCAGTGTTTGTTGATGGAGTCCATCAGTCGCAGACGCTGTCGCTTTACAATAGGCGGCGTGTTTGTCGGGGTGGTGCTTTTTAAGATGTTTTATTAGGTTTGTCGTGTTGTAGGAGACCCTGTTAGCACCACCTCGTGAGACTTCCACACCACAGACTTTGTATGTCGCAGTCGGCGACTCACTTGTAGTTATTTTAAAATGATGCCAAACTGCAGACATTTTAACTAGCTAACGATATGTGTCCGTTCCACTTTTCCAACTCGATAATGGCGGCTGATGCAATAGAACAACAACAACAATGGAATCATGGGAAATATTAACTATGGATCGGCCATGACATTTAATTGGATCTGCCGATCCCGATCCACCTTAAAACACAGTATCGGGGGCCGATCCGATCCGGGGATCGGGACATCTCTAGTTTAACTTGAAGGTGCCTGATGTGAACATTTCCAGAAGAACTCTAGCTTGAATGGCCTTTGTATGTATACAGTAGGCCTACACATAGGCGGCACGTGAGGCTCAGGTTTGGGAAGGCTAAATAACTTTTTTTTTCATCTTACGCTGCCCGCCTCCGGCGTCTATAGAAAAGAGATCAACTCAGTGAAAGCACCGCCTGCTGACCGATCAGAGCTCAGTGTGCGGAGTTTAAATCTATCAAGTCATATTACAGGAAAAAGGAAATGCAGTTTAAACTGCCGTATGCAGAGAAGACGCCGACGTGTCGCACTTATCATTCATATCACACTGACATCACATCATCAATCAGATCATCGATCTCACATCGATATCACAATATTTCCTTATCTGAGTCAGCTTCTCGAGCCGTATCTGGCCGTGCAACACTTAGTTACATTGTCACATATACTGTATGCAGACGTATTATTTTAAGCAACACATTAAGTTGACGAAACACTCAACTCAAATGTAATAAAGTCAGATCCCCTCGTGTTTTAGATGGGGCAGTATCATAAAACTGTTGTACGCTTTCAAACACTCTGTAGTTTATTTTTTAACGAGTTGTTCTGTATTCTCCTTGCAGGTGCAACTTTGTGGCTTGTATTCTGGATTATATGTTTAAGTCATCATGGATGTTTAAAGTTCATATTTGTCTAATATTAGTTTACTTTTCATTAATGAAGTATGATGTTGCGCTGTCAGTACACTTGTCCCTGTTTGTGATTGGTCAAATGTAGCTAACCCCGCCCCTTTCACGTGAACGCAGTTACATTGTCACATATACTGTATGCAGACGTATTATTTTAAGCAACACATTAAGTTGACGAAACACTCAACTCAAATGTAATAAAGTCAGATCCCCTCGTGTTTTAGATGGGGCAGTATCATAAAACTGTTGTACGCTTTCAAACACTCTGTAGTTTATTTTTTAACGAGTTGTTCTGTATTCTCCTTGCAGGTGCAACTTTGTGGCTTGTATTCTGGATTATATGTTTAAGTCATCATGGATGTTTAAAGTTCATATTTGTCTAATATTAGTTTACTTTTCATTAATGAAGTATGATGTTGCGCTGTCAGTACACTTGTCCCTGTTTGTGATTGGTCAAATGTAGCTAACCCCGCCCCTTTCACGTGAACGCGTTCTCAGCTGGAGAGAGAAACCCTGGCTTGATTTACCGAGTTGATAACCAGCGCCGTAGGACCGTTTAGCGAGATCGCATTTGTTAGGGTTAGTTAAGATAACTCAAGCATATCCAAGGTATGTTGAACTGGCTTCGTGGTACAGGGCACAGGTGGCTGCATAGCAGCGCTAATGTCAAAGACATTATATTTTTATTTTACCAGGATGCAGTTACACAAATATTTGGGAAGGCTTAGCCTTCCCTAGCCTAAAGCACCCGCCGCCCCTGGGCCTACAGTATAGCCCAACCATGTACACCTTCCTTTTTTCCCGTCCAAAGTTTGAATTGGATAAAGGTAATGGTTATCGATTGTGCTTTTATAGCCTATTGTATAATAACTGTGTGATTTATATTGCTTTTCAAATGCATATGGCCACCCATTTACACTGCTCTTCCCATCAAGAATATGAATAGAACTTAGTTAGATCACTTTACATTTCTGCAAATTAATTTTTAATCACACACGTCTCCCCGTCCCGAAAATGATAAATAAAATAAAAAGAGGAAACCATTTTCAAGTTCAGTTTTCAACGTTTTATTTAAAATAACTGACATAACAGACACCATACTGTAGGCCTATCTGCTGCGGAAACCAGGAGGAGCTATTTCGGGATCTATTTTTCGGGGGCTCCTCAGTCTCTCATTTACCCGGCTCCTGATCTTATGCCACTGGTCAATGTTCAGATTTGGGAAAAAAGGAAGGTGTAAATGGTTGAATGATAGATAAACAGTGAGGAGGGGTACAGTATGAATACACTAGATATACACAGCAGCCCAGCCTGTGAGCAGTATGAACACCAATGAGCGCTCAGCTAGAGATACCAGCGAGTCGAGAGAGAGAATGATATCTGCATTTTCTCTTTTGGTTTGATTCGGACACATCCTGGGGATTGTGTTTACAAACATTGACCAGACCGTTCACCAGCTCCCACCCCCCATGTTGCC